TGTGATGTGTTAGTGTATGTCGTTTGTAGGGAGGGTGTGATATGTTAGTGTAGGCTGTTTGTAGGGAGGGTGTGATATGTTAGTGTAGGCTGTTTGTAGGGAGGGTGTGATATGTTAATGTATGTCGTTTGTAGGGAGGGTGTGCTATGTTAGTGTAGGCTGTTTGTAGGGAGGGTGTGATATGTTAGTGTAGGCTGTTTGTAGGGAGGGTGTGATATGTTAATGTATGTCGTTTGTAGGGAGGGTGTGATATGTTAGTGTAGGCTGTTTGTAGGGAGGGTGTGATATGTTAGTGTAGGCTGTTTGTAGGGAGGGTGTGATATGTTAATGTATGTCGTTTGTAGGGAGGGTGTGATATGTTAGTGTAGGCTGTTTGTAGGGAGGGTGTGATATGTTAGTGTAGGCTGTTTGTAGGGAGGGTGTGATATGTTAGTGTAGGCTGTTTGTAGGGAGGGTGTGATATGTAAGTGTAGGCTGTTTGTAGGGAGGGTGTGATATGTTAGTGTAGGCTGTTTGTAGGGATGGTGTGATATGTTAGTGTAGGCTGTTTGTAGGGAGGGTGTGATATGTTAGTGTAGGCTGTTTGTAGGGAGGGTGTGATATGTTAGTGTAGGCTGTTTGTAGGGAGGGTGTGATATGTTAATGTATGTCGTTTGTAGGGAGGGTGTGATATGTTAGTGTAGGCTGTTTGTAGGGAGGGTGTGATATGTTAGTGTAGGCTGTTTGTAGGGAGGGTGTGATATGTTAGTGTAGGCTGTTTGTAGGGAGGGTGTGATATGTTAGTGTAGGCTGTTTGTAGGGAGGGTGTGATATGTTAGTGTAGGCTGTTTGTAGGGAGGGTGTGATGTGTTAGTGTATGTCGTTTGTAGGGAGGGTGTGATATGTTAGTGTAGGCTGTTTGTAGGGAGGGTGTGATATGTTAATGTATGTCGTTTGTAGGGAGGGTGTGATATGTTAGTGTAGGCTGTTTGTAGGGAGGGTGTGATATGTTAGTGTAGGCTGTTTGTAGGGAGGGTGTGATATGTTAATGTATGTCGTTTGTAGGGAGGGTGTGATATGTTAGTGTAGGCTGTTTGTAGGGAGGGTGTGATATGTTAGTGTAGGCTGTTTGTAGGGAGGGTGTGATATGTTAATGTATGTCGTTTGTAGGGAGGGTGTGCTATGCTAGTGTAGGCTGTTTGTAGGGAGGGTGTGATATGTTAGTGTAGGCTGTTTGTAGGGAGGATGTGATATGTTAGTGTAGGCTGTTTGTAGGGAGGGTGTGATATGTTAATGTATGTCGTTTGTAGGGAGGGTGTGATATGTTAGTGTAGGCTGTTTGTAGGGAGGGTGTGATATGTTAGTGTAGGCTGTTTGTAGGGAGGGTGTGATATGTTAGTGTAGGCTGTTTGTAGGGAGGGTGTGATATGTTAATGTATGTCGTTTGTAGGGAGGGTGTGATATGTTAATGTATGTCGTTTGTAGGGAGGGTGTGATATGTTAATGTATGTCGTTTGTAGGGAGGGTGTGCTATGTTAGTGTAGGCTGTTTGTAGGGAGGGTGTGATATGTAAGTGTAGGCTGTTTGTAGGGAGGGTGTGATATGTTAATGTATGTCGTTTGTAGGGAGGGTGTGATATGTTAGTGTAGGCTGTTTGTAGGGATGGTGTGATATGTTAGTGTAGGCTGTTTGTAGGGAGGGTGTGATATGTTAGTGTAGGCTGTTTGTAGGGAGGATGTGATATGTTAGTGTAGGCTGTTTGTAGGGAGGGTGTGATATGTTAATGTATGTCGTTTGTAGGGAGGGTGTGATATGTTAGTGTAGGCTGTTTGTAGGGAGGGTGTGATATGTTAATGTATGTCGTTTGTAGGGAGAGTGTGATATTTTAGTGTAGGCTGTTTGTAGGGAGGGTGTGATATGTTAATGTATGTCGTTTGTAGGGAGGGTGTGATATGTTAATGTATGTCGTTTGTAGGGAGGGTGTGCTATGTTAGTGTAGGCTGTTTGTAGGGAGGGTGTGATATGTTAGGGTAGGCTGTTTGTAGGGAGGGTGTGATATGTTAGTGTAGGCTGTTTGTAGGGAGGGTGTGATATGTTAATGTATGTCGTTTGTAGGGAGGGTGTGATATGTTAGTGTAGGCTGTTTGTAGGGAGGGTGTGATATGTTAATGTATGTCGTTTGTAGGGAGAGTGTGATATTTTAGTGTAGGCTGTTTGTAGGGAGGGTGTGATATGTTAATGTATGTCGTTTGTAGGGAGGGTGTGATATGTTAATATATGTCGTTTGTAGGGAGGGTGTGCTATGTTAGTGTAGGCTGTTTGTAGGGAGGGTGTGATATGTTAGTGTAGGCTGTTTGTAGGGAGGGTGTGATATGTTAGTGTAGGCTGTTTGTAGGAAGGGTGTGACATGTTAGTGTAAGCTGTTTGTAGGGAGGGTGTGATATGTTAGTGTAGGCTGTTTGTAGGGAGGGTGTGATATGTTAGTGTAGGCTGTTTGTAGGGAGGGTGTTTTATGTAAGTGTATGCTCTTTGTGGTAAGGCGGATCCGATTCCAAATTCAAGTGCTGCTCAATTGAAGTGAATTTGCAAAGGCTCCCAGTTATTTTGGATATCAAGTACATTGTGTGACAATGCTGAGCGTTAAACGAGAAAAAGTAGCTAGCATTTAGCACTAGCTTAGTCTTTGCCTAGGGACAGAAACTAAAGCCTTCCTTACACAAGGGCAAAGAAAGGAAGTGTTGAGATCAGGCAATAACAGGTATTTAACAAGATGTGGAATGACCATATCCCGAATTTCAAAGTCAGGGTAGGGTGGAGGGTGACGGGGGTGACGGGAGGGTGTGTGTGTGTGTGACGTAGTTAAGTAACACTGGAGTAGTTCAAACACATATACTAAATATAACTGGGCCTGATATTGTATTTTTATATGTCTAATATCGAGTAGACATTTACAAATTACATCGAATCAGGTAAATATTTAATAAATATCAACAAAACACATCAAACGAATTCAAATAATGAATTTATTTAATTTTTGAAAATAAACGTGAAATAATGTATATTTATTAGCATAAATTCATAATTTTGTAATAAACACATGCTGTTTCACTTCTTTTGATAGAAGTGAATCGGTAAAGTTGTCAATACAATGCAGTATTAAAATTCAGCTAGGATCTGATGATGTCCTGGTCTTAATTCCGGGTACATGTAAAGACATAAAAATTCTCCGAATGTTAGATAATAAATGCTGTCACCTGCTCAATACATCTGGTAGCTAACATCTGTGACACATTAATCCTGTCTATTGCTGTCACGCAGTCCGTCGGATTTTTTGCTTGTGTAACTGAAATTTACCCATAGTATGTTCTCGAAGCGTTATACAAACATGGTCAGTTGTAGAATGAGGTATATAGATGTGTGTATAGAATCAGACATTTCCAGATATATACCCTTTGAAAGGCGTATGAGTCATCCAGGTAATAATGTAGGACACCTCGTGTCTCTTGAGATGTAACCTGATTTTAACTTTAAATTACAAGCACCTTGTAACACAAGGAAGTAGCACATTGCCCAATCCCCCGGTCAGTAAATATGTTTTTTTATATAAGAGTCAGATGGGTGGGGATTTGTTCCATCTCCCGATCAGTAAATATGTTTTATATACGAGCCAGAGGGTGGGGATTCCTTCCATCTCCCGGCCAGTAAATATGTTTTATATACGGGTCAGGGGTTGGGATTCGTTCCATCTCCCGGTCAGTAAAAATGTTTTTTATATACGAGCCAGGGGGTGGGGATTCGTTCCATCTCCCGGTCAGTAAAAATGTTTTTTATATACGAGCCAGGGGGTGGGGATTCGTTCCATCTCCCGGTCAGTAAATATGTTTTTATTTACGAGTCCGAGGGTTGGGGATTCGTTTACACCCCGCCCCTCTCTTCCCGGTAATTTATATGTCTCGGAATAATTCAAATTCTACTTCGTGAATATTTTTTGGCAAACTTTGTTATTATATTTAAATAATTGTTAATATTTAGCTCATATATTAAATTATTATACACCTCACCCTACCACACCAATAGTTTATGATGAACACTGAGGATGATTTACAACGTATAGACATACAATTTGAGAAACCTGGTGTGGTACTCTAGGTAGATTTTACATACAATACCCCTTATCCTGAATATAGCATTTAAAATTTCACACTGGCGAAAGATGAAAAATAACATAAGGTAAGTATTTTCATTATCTGACTACTGATCCATTTAATCTTTCGCTTCGTTCTATCTTTATATAATCTAGGATGTGGTATTTTTTCTTCTTCCGTCAGACATTATTCCAGTAATAACAACTAAAAGCAAAAGTAATAGCGGATCGTAAATCCGGTCCATTAATCTGTGATGGTCCCAGTCCTTCACTTGTATGCTAAAACAATGACGTAAGATTATGAATGAATGATACAGCATAATTAATTTGGACCGGTAAAATGTGATTAATAAAGACTTTAAAAGATTTTGAAAATTTTGTAATTATTACTGGTTTTGTTGTTGTTGTTAGTACACAAAGATATGTGATATATACACGAGGCTACATGATCACAGACAGTCGCTATAAAAGGGGATCCACACACCGAGATATAAGGTTTAAAGCTTACGTAAATTACCAGTGACAAGTTCAGACTACCGGGAATTCGCTTCATTCAAAAGGACTGGAGATTGTAAAGAGATTGTCAAACAATCTCTTCTATACAGACAAAATAGGGCTAGAACAAGAAAACAGAAACACACAAAAAAATACATTTCCGGTGATCATCTTAAACATTTGTTGTTAAATACGAGAAACCATCAGCAATATCATAAGGCCCGAGCTCTGGCATAATGCCAGACTAATTATATCGTCCAATGACAGAACGGGGGAGAGGCCAAGTATTATAATTACCTGAGACTTCCGTGACGTTATCAGGTAAATACACATACACAGTCACACAGGTAAATACACCTTTACGTCAGTACTCAGTATCAACATGGCCAGGTTTGGAACACAACGTGTTTTTCGTTTTCCGTTATACATTCTTGTATGGACTAATATCTGTGTTTTCGTAAATGGAGCAGGTAAGTTGATGATAATATCGATTTTTTTGTACTTTTGCTTCAGTAAGCACCACGAACGTCCATTGTTACAGCTGGTTGTCTTGACGCTCTTTGTTCAGAAACACATGTTGGATATTAGTAACACCGTTATATTTGTATACCCGTAATCTTTATACTCTATATAAAGTACATTATAATGTATATTTTCCCTGATTCGCTTACATTTACATAGACTTGATAAGAATAAAAAAAAACTCAGTTTAAATAGTACCAGTTTAATAAATTTATTAAGATACTAGTATAAATCAGGCAATTGACACATGGTTCTGGTTTAATTCGTTCAATATGTCTTTGTCTTATCTTTGCGTTTGAACATACCTGTTCATAATCTATTATGATGTCTTGAGGAGATCCGGAAATTACGTCACGATATCGCACGTAATGTCATAACGTTACAATGCAGACCGAATATGGAGTCAAATATCGTGTTGATATCACTTTGAAAATATAAAATAATCAATATCGTATTATACTATAATATGATGTAATGAACCAGCAAAGTTTTAGTAAATCAATTTTGCTTGATATGCATGAGCAATCATGTCACAGTGTGTACATCGTGACAAAAATCGTGACCACACTCTACCCTATATTGAATCATTTCTGTGATATCATCTTATATACATCTAATATATATAGTAAACAGAGTCAAATCACTTAGTACATTAGATTGCAAAAAGGTGATGTTGTACAGTGTTAAGATTCAAAAGACAAAATGAGCTATATTTCAGGTCAGTGAGATAAAATTGAATGCAAGTTTCTAGGGAATTATGTAGATGATTATTAAACATAATTATAAAATAGCATGGAATAAGAACCGAAATAGAAATTAAAACGCTGAGGTCCAATACAGGGAAAAGAGAATTGAGATATCATAGAGTAAAATACTATTTTGATTTTGAAAAGTGGGTAATATAATATACGATACTGGAATAAAACGGAGTGGGTAGTAGAATATACGATACTGGAATAAAACGGAGTGGGTAGCAGAATATACGATATTGGAATAAAACGGAGTGGGTAGCAGAATATACGATATTGGAATAAAACGGAATGGGTAGCAGAATATACGATATTTGAATAAAACGGAGTGGGTAGTAGAATATACGAAACTGGAATAAAACGGAGTGGGTAGCAGAATATACGATATTTGAATAAAACGGAGTGGGTAGTAGAATATACGAAACTAGAGTAAAACGGAGTGTGGAGTAGAGTATACGAAACTGTACATTGTATGAAGCTGTACAATGTATTAAAATGAACAGTGTATTGTCCCGTACAGTTATTTTACTACACAGTGCGTTGCACTTTGTATGGAGCTGTACACTGTATTGTACTGTACACTCACTGTATTGTACTGTAAAAAACTGTATTGTGATGTGCACTGTGTTGTACTCTTTAGAGTATTGTGCCATTCACTCACTGTACTGTATAATTTTATTCCGTATTGTATTGTATTGTATTGTATTGTATTGTATTGTATTGTATTGTGTTGTATTGTATTGTATTGTATTGTATTGTATTGTGATAATGATCTACACGATAAGAATATACATTTATTATTAAAGCCAGCTTTACATCACTGTTTACCTTAACTGACACCATCTGGATGTTGGTTTGTTGTTAATTAAATGCAAAACATAGGTAACACTACTTCGTCACTGCTGTCACCAAGATAACGTCAATAATATGACCCAATTAGTCCTTAGTTCTAACATTTATCGAAAACAAGCTGTTAAATATACGAAAAGGTGTGTCATTGCCCGTGTCCTCTCGTGTAGGCTATGTTGGTCAGACCACTACGTATTGAATAATATAAACCAGTCTCTCACTTAACCAAAGTCGTCCTTCTGTTAGGTACACCTATCCCCAGCACAGTGTTTTAGTTCAGATCGTATCTTTCCATTGAATCATGGTTTCAGATCGATCGACTGACCTCGTTGCTGTTCGCATAGATAAGCACAAGGTATGTACTGAAGAAAGACAGTGGTCTCTTCGAACGTTCCTGAATTATTTCCTGTGGTATTCAAGTGATGTAGGCAATACACATTTCTCAATTCCCTTTCATTATTTAGTACGTGTATCTGTCAACACATTCCCCTGATTGTGTTAAGTACGTGTATCTGTCCACACCTTCCCCTGATTATGTTAAGTACGTGTATCTGTCCACATCTTCCCCTGATTGTGTTAAGTACGTGTACCTGTCCACATCTTCCCCTGATTGTGTTTAGTACGTGTACCTGTCCACATCTTCCCCTGATTGTGTTTAGTACGTGTACCTGTCCACACATTCCCTTGATTGTGTTAAGTACGTGTACCTGTCCACATCTTCCCGTGATTGTGTTAAGTACGTGTATCTGTCAACACATTCCCCTGATTGTGTTAAGTACGTGTATCTGTCCACATCTTCCCCTGATTATGTTAAGTATGTGTACCTGTCCACATCTTCCCCTGATTGTGTTAAGTACGTGTATCTGTCCACATCTTCCCCCGATTGTGTTAAGTACGTGTATCTGTCCACATCTTCCCCTGATTGTGTTAAGTACGTGTACCTGTCCACATCTTCCCCTGATTGTGTTAAGTACGTGTACCTGTTCACACCTTCCCCTGATTGTGTTATGTACGTGGATCTGTCCACATCTTCCCCTGATTGTGTTAAGTACGTGTATCTGTCCACATCTTCCCCTGTTTGTGTTAAGTACGTGTATCTGTCCACATCTTCCCCTGATTGTGTTAAGTACGTGTACCTGTCCACATCTTCCCCTGATTGTGTTATGTACGTGTACCTGTCCACATCTTCCCCTGATTGTGTTAAGTACGTGTACCTGTCCACACCTTCCCCTGATTGTGTTAAGTACGTGTACCTGTCCACATCTTCCCCTGATTGTGTTTAGTACGTGTATCTGACCACATCTTCCCCTGATTATGTTAAGTACGTGTATGTGTCCACATCTTCCCCTGATTGTGTTAAGTACGTGTACCTGTCCACACATGACCCTGATTGTATTAAGTACGTGTATCTGTCCACATCTTCCCCTGTTTGTGTTAAGTACGTGTATCTGTCCACATCTTCCCCTGATTGTGTCCACATCTTCCCCTGATTGTGTTAATTACGTGTACCTGTCCACATCTTCCCCTGATTGTGTTAAGTACGTGTACCTGTCCACATCTTCCCCTGATTGTGTTATGTACGTGTATCTGTCCACATCTTCCCCTGATTGTGTTTAGTACGTGTATCTGTCCACATCTTCCCCTGATTATGTTAAGTACGTGTATGTGTCCACATCTTCCCCTGATTGTGTTAAGTACGTGTATCTGTCCACATCTTCCCCTGATTGTGTTATGTACGTGGAGCTGTCCACATCTTCCCCTGATTGTGTTATGTACGTGGCGCTGTCCACATCTTCCCCTGATTGTGTTAAGCACGTGTATCTGTCCACATCTTCCCTTGATTGTGTTAAGTACGTGTATCTGTCCACATCTTCCCCTGATTGTGTTAAGTACGTGTATCTGTCAACACATTCCCCTGATTGTGTTAAGTACGTGTATCTGTCCACATCTTCCCCTGATTATGTTAAGTATGTGTACCTGTCCACATCTTCCCCTGATTGTGTTAAGTACGTGTACCTGTCCCCATCTTCCCCCTGATTGTGTTAAGTACGTGTATCTGTCCACATCTTCCCCTGATTGTGTTAAGTACGTGTACCTGTCCACATCTTCCCCTGATTGTGTTAAGTACATGTACCTGTCCACACCTTCCCCTGATTGTGTTAATTACGTGTACCTGTATACATCTTCCCCTGATTGTGTTAAGTACGTGTACCTGTCCACATCTTTCCCTGATTGTGTTATGTACGTGGACCTGTCCACATCTTCCCCTGATTGTGTTAAGTACGTGTACCTGTTCACACCTTCCCCTGATTGTGTTATGTACGTGGATCTGTCCTGGTTGTATTTAATGCTAGTGTCTGTTATCCCACTTCTGACAGTATTTAATACAAAGATATCAGTGTTACACGTGAATGTTTTATCAATGTTGCTGTACGAAATCATCAGGCATGTACGTGAATGTTTTATCAATGTTGCTGTACAAAATCATCAGGCATGCACTTGGATGTTTTCTAAATGTTGCTGTACAAAATCATCAGGCATGTACGATGATGTTTTATAAATGTTACTGGTACAAAAACATCAGGCATACACGTGGATGTTTTATAAATGTTGCTGGTACAAAGATATCAGGCATGCACTTGGATGTTTTATAAATGTTGCTGGTACAAAGATATCAGGCATACATGTGGATGTTTTATAAATGTTGCTGGTACAATGGTTTCAGGCATACACGTGGATGTTTTATAAATATGACTGCTACAATAAGTACTGAATCAGCAGTACTCGAACAAAATTCACTGAGAATACGACAGGTGTTCTATATCTTGGTCACGTGGGACATTTTTCTCTTTGTCGATCATCTGCAGGCTTTCAGTACACATGATCGCAAAACATATTTATACTGAAATGCTATTTTTAGATCTAGGCGTTACCATATAGGTATATTGATCACATGTTATTCCAAGTACCCGTAAAAATTACATATTATGAACCATTGGTCACGTTTCGTTTATAGCCAAGGTGAAACGAATACTTTTTAACACTAGTTGTGTTCGTAACCTAGATTCAAAACGTGGAAGGATATTCTGTATACACGTGACTTACAGAAATGCCGTCTTTTATTATCAAAGGTAACATGTACCCCAATTTACGTCGATGAGCGGTTATAAAGAATATATATGGATCTTGTTGACGCAGCTATGTGATATAATTATGGCTGCTCTACCAATCACGGAATACAAAACCAATTACTTTTCCAGACGTCATACAGCGCATTATACACACCATTAGGAGACATTATAGGGTATAGGAATTTAGACTCGTACATTGAACAACACGAATGCGTCTAATCTTATTACTCCACAAACATTCACAGGTATAGCAAAATGTGATTTATGTGATCTCTTTTGAATTTTAATTAACTCTTTAATAGGAATTCACCAATGACAATACTCAATTAAATCGATTCCGTGATTATTTCTCTACGATATCAAAGTTACCATAGACTCAAAAGTCATACACTCTTTATCCAAACTTTAACTGACAAGTTGTCTTTTTCATTCACAATATTGTTCATCTGTAGAAATGTACAAATGTTTGTAACACCACATCGAATATACTTATTTCTCTCTTATCCCCAGATATACTCTCAAACCCCTTTTGCTTTGATCAACCATTTACCCAGAAAAGCCTATAACATAAAATACAAAGTGATTATTTTAGATATTTAAGTGAAATGTACATTCACAATTCAACACTCACAAAAAACGTAATGTGCCAAATGATATATAGAAACATGGACCTTTCCCTTTTATCTATGTTTTTTTCTAAAACATTTTTTATTGAGAAAATTTTATATATGTTTCTCCAACACCCGATCAGAACAAATAGCATGCAATGTAACTCTTTTGATCACGGGTTGGCTTTTGAGACAGCGATACTAAATGACAAAATAAATGGCATTTGAGCGGATCTCGTGGAGTTAGAAGTAAAATAGAAAAACTTCCACAAAAATCAACTAATAGCAAGACAGAACAAAATCAAAACACAAAACAAGAATAAAACATAGGTTTTAAAAAATGAATTATACACATACCTAAAAACTAACAAAGATAATAGCGTAGAGGAAACACTGAATTACCATTGTGACCTAGAATGAAATAAATATTAATGTACAGTACAAATATTTACCTTTTTTAAATAGCTTGCAAGTAGGATTGACATCAATAACGTTATAGTCTCTCTCTCTCTCTCCCTCCCTGCCTCCCTCTCTCTCTCTCTCTCTCTCTCTCTCTCTCTCTCTCTCTCTCTCTCTCTCTCCCTCTCCCCCCTCTCTCTCCCTCCCTCTCTCCCCCCTCTCTCTCTCGCTCTGTGTGTTTGTATTTATGTGTGTGTGTCTGTTACCGTGCGATTTTACGGGTATACTAAGTGACTGCATGTAATTGTGTATAAAATATGTTTTGTTTTCAACTTTGACGATTATAGAATAGCCATATAGTTTATCTACGATTCTATATACAAATGATGGATCTTGATAAGAGTCAATCTTTAAAACAGCATTCTGTTTTATCCTGATACAACAAGAGTTATAGTTATAAATTCTTCAAATTCTTTCTAGGTGGCGCATGGACTATTTGGTATAATCGATTTCCTGATGAAGTTGGAGACGACCAGAGCTGGGCCACCATACGTAATGTGAGTTATCTTAACGACATTGTGTATCTCAGGAACATATTACAAAAAACAGATCTATACCAGACACAACTGCTTAGTAAACATTAAGATATGACGAAAATAAAAAACGAAGACAAAATGTTGTTAGAATCCAAATTGAATTTCAATCCTAAGTCATAAACTAAGTAGGTCACACACGTTCAATAGTTCTGTCTTAAGTAAAAAAAGAGTGACATGAATGGCTGTTCTACTACATCTTGTTTCTAGGTCACAATTCGTTTGTCTTATAGGACAAATTATTGAAGTGAGTTTGCTTATTTTCTAATGAATATGAGTAATGTGATTTGAGAAAATCTTACAGTCCTGTTGTATATATTTCACACTCGTCCATTATATTGATATATAACTCACCTAAAGGCTATAGAATATATCAAATTATTAATATATTCTAACAAACGACCAAGTTAATTAAAAGAAATTTGTCTATTACGTCATTGAATCATAACTTATATAAAATACAGTGTAACGCTTACTTTCCTCTGAGATTAGTGAATGCAATGACACCTTTCTCTTTGTCAAACTATTTTTTAGTGGATGTGAAATTTTATCATACATTTAGGTCGATGATTCATAATATATCCCTGACCTCTACTATATTGTTGATATCCGCTCCATATTTGTTTACATTAGGCGTTAGTGGACCATAAACATATTTACAGAATGTTCGAGGACTGCCCCCTTGCACGACAACGTGTCAGAGTCCTTTCGAACTTCGACTATCCAGTTAAATGCATATCTACCAGAGACTAGTCCTTTTCCACGTATAACTGTCAGTGGCGTAGCAAAACATTTTTAAGAGTGTATGCTTTCAAGAGAGGATCCAAGGGCGAAGCCCCGGTTAAGGGGGTTTAGGGGCGCAGTAAGGTTGAAAGAAGTAGGGCAAATATATCTCAATGGAATTCGAGTGTATGTTTAAGCATACAAGCATACATACGCCTCTGACTGTACATAATATATATATCGATTTTCGCAACTACTTAAGACGTATAAATGTATTGTATATTCATAATATCCAGGTAGTATATTTATAATAGTACTAGATAAAGACGAGCTCAGTGTAACTGTTTTTTTAGTATAATCACACATGTATCAAGTCGTCCATTTGTTTTTACAGAGATGTATAATACAAAGGGAAAGGAGACTATTTCTCTTTGTTCTGACGAGTTAATCAGACACGCAATGTTTTTATAAACAGTTTGTCCCAAAACGAAATAGTCCATATTAAAAAAAAGTAGAAAATCTTAATAATTTCCTTTCGTGTAAGTGTGCGTGTTAACTTAGAAGACAAAAAAATCTGTTAACTTGTGATCTTTATAAAACAGCTTGCTTGTTTGCAAGAAACACATTATTGCTTTGTTTACACCATTTATATCACGTATTGTATATCATGGATAAATGTTGCTTTCTTGTATATCTGTCATAAATATTGATTAATGTATACAATATTGTTCCTTTTGTATAGCATGGCTACACTGTATGTGGTAGCGAAAAGCCGGAAATGGCCGAATGCCGAGAAGTTGGTTCCGAAATGACATTTACAGAACATAATGCAAATAAAGTCGCTCCTGATCATCTGTCTGTACCCTGTACAAGGAATGGCTTAGTCTGCTACAACTACCGCGAAAACAATATGAATTGCCATGATTACGAGGTTCGATTTTTCTGCCCATATACAGGTAAATGTTTAAACATTAACTATCACAATATGTTTTAGTAAATGTTTTGCATAATTTGTAAACCTGACTCCTTTAGATTACGGAAGTCGTTTTTGAAGTGAAAGGCGTTTACCCTTTCGGCACAAGTGATGTAGTTCTTCTTGATTATTTTCTGTCTTTGTGTAGTTTGTTTCTTTGTTATTTCAAAGTTCTTGCTCCCCCTAATCCGAATTAAAACTCTTCTGAAATGTCGGTATATTTTTTTTCACTTTGAGTTTTTGACATTTTTCTTAAACTAAAACACACTGTAGGGAACTTTTGAAACACGCTAAGGGTAATTTGTCAGTTATATAGATATGAAATGGATGTGTTTATTTATACACAGAATGATCAATGCAGTATTAATATATTGAAAACAAGACTATTTGTTTGGTTACAGATGAAGAAAAACAAAGATCAGCAGATTATGGACTGGTGGCACTAGCTGCGGGTCTTTCTGTACTGATCCCCCTTCTTTGTGTTGTCGTACTGCAGTGCATACGCCAGATTCGAGTTAAGAGGGCGCTCCGTGCAAGAGGCCAATTAGCACGTGATCATTTCAACAACATGGGATCTCAACCTGTTGACTCGGCCAATTTTACAGCACCTCCTTCATATGAATCAATATTTAGTAACGGACAAAATTTCCCAGCCGGAACCGGCAGGGATGCTTTGCTACAAAGCGAAACATCTAATTCTTCTACAATAGACTTGTCTCACGTAAACGAAGGATTCTCTCACGAAGATGCCCAACAGACCGGTGTTTATCAAATATCGACGGGAACAGTCTATCCAACAGACACCGGAAGTCACGTGCCTAACCTGCGACGATTTCCCGGCATGCATTTGTCAATGGAGGACATTATTTTATTAAACAGTGGAGATCAGAGAACCCCTCCGCCTGCATACAATGACGCCATGGTCATTGTGGGCCCAATTCCGCCAAAATATTCAGATGTCCAAAAAGACCAAGTTACCCCAGCAACGTAACGACCTTAACGTTCGAAAAAAAACTAGACTATGCTTTAAAGAGGTCGTAAGGTGCTTGAACTTTAAGGAATGTTTCATGACGAAACAGCGCCACACTATGGTCATAGGAGAGTAAGTTAACCAATCTTTACAACGAGATTATTGCAATTGGAGGTGACAGCAACTGGCACAATACAGGTTGTACTAATTTGTAATACATCTTATCAGCGTCACCTGTGACGCAATGAGCGGTTTTTGCAATGAGTTGTCAACAAAACCCATTATCTCATGTACTTAAAGTATTGTTTCTGAAACCGTCTTTCACGAAACATCATTTTCATGTATACAACCTTACAGTAATTTTTCGAAGCACAGAGCCTATATATTTCGTAATCAGTTTTATAAATCAAGAGAATATTATTGACTCTGATTCTATCACCACACGAGTGAATCATAATAAAATGTTGTGCCAATATCCGGTTTATATAACAACGATGAATCCGGTTAATATAACAACGACAAAACCTTAATGAAACTCTCGATATCTATCCTTATTTTACATACTACGTTTATAGAAAAGGGCGTTCAAATAGCGTTCCAATTTGTAGAATATATTTATATTTGTAATCCTTTAATGATCAGGAAATCCGGTTTATATCATATTATAGCGTTGAGAACTTGTATTTTTGTATACAGGGGAGTTTATTTCAACAATATTTCTCTGAGGATCAGGGGCAAACGAAAGGACAGGTATGCATGGTGAGTTTCGAGTAGGGTTTAGTGCAATTGCCTTAAAATTTCCTTTCCAGACAATCAATATCAATGTTCCCTCTTATATCTTAAATATTTTTTTATCTATTTATTCATCATAGGATTCATCAATTTCTCTACCCTCACTCCAAGTGATAAATTTCAGAATCTCCATTATGAAAGAGACACTTTTTTAAATAGTCATGTTTCTTTCAACCAACATTTGTTTTCATTTATCTGAGTCGTTGAAATCCTGATTTTAGTCATAATATATCATTACTTTATACAGATTTACAATGAATTATCTTTTGTCTTTCTTTAGCAGCTGGTGTTTGCAATATTAAGGCATCAGGTTTGATTTATTTATTTATCAATATTGGTTACCAGAATTGGATTGTATATGGATGGTATATAATTTGAATGGAAGCTTTGTCGAGATTATAATACATATGGTATGAGTGTCAAACAGTAAACATCTACTGTATTATATATATATGTTATGATTGATAATCAAATCAAAACAATGCAATTACGTGTTCAGTAAATATGTCGAAGTGTTTCACTGATATGATTATGAGTATTACGCAATTGAGAATTTTCTCATTGTTTCATTTCGTTTTGGTATTTGTCATCTCAATCTTTGAAACTATAAAACATTAAGTTGGTGGTTTTTGCCCTCTTTTTTCATCATAGAGGACAGTCTTTCAAAATGTGTACCTGTTCATTTGCTATAGGTACGTTAGTCGATTGTTATTGTGTGAAACGGACCGTAATAACACTGAGTCTGGTATCAGTTTAAACACTTCATGATGTTATGCTGCTGGCGATTGAAGATAGAATATGTAGGTCGAGTTTTATGACTTTTTAATGTGCGCTGTTGATAGAGACGTTTTATGTCAGGGTGACTGTTGAGGATATTTGAAATAAAAATGCTTCTTTCTCATCATTGGTCTCATCTATGTCCAGTACCCTTGTCTTGGGTTTATATATATATATATATATAAGCCTGAACATGAGAATTCTTTAATGATATTTTAAATTTGTTTTAAGTGACGAAATATGTAAGTCTCTTCGCCGTCATAACATTATCAGGAATATCGGTTTTTATGACGCCCGTCACAAGGTTAATGCTATTGATGATGGTAATGCCGGTGTTTTTTTTTTTTTTTTTTTTTTAATATAAACAAATTATCTTACCAGTTTACTCTCCATTACAATTTATTTGTAACTCACTCTGTTAATATTCCAGTCATAGAAAGCATGGTGGCTGACGTCATTTTATTATTTATTGTCATGTGTGTTTGTGTAAATTTGTGTCTACAAGGTTGTGACTGTTTATTGAAATGTGAAATTGTCTTTAACAATATTGTGTATTAAATACAATTAAATTGATGTTGGTCTCGGTTTTTTATTTTCGTTATTTTGTTTATCACTTTGGACAACATAACAAAAGATGGTACCTCATTAGTGAAATGTACAAATCATGTAAGCATATTACCATTTACTTCAGCAACGGAAATTTGAATAACATACTGCATGAAGCAATCTTACACCAGGGAACGCTCTTGTTTATTTTACCTGAAGCATTCCTGTAATGGAAACGTCAGTGTTATGGAATATAAAATAATTATAACATCATGAATGTGTCATGAAATTGTACGTAATAGAAAGTACGTGTGTTCTAAATTATAATCACGTTCAAATTAACGGACGATGAACAGATGTAACATAATTATATTTACATAAGCGCATAAATGACTCCGATCTACACACGAATATGAAGGATAGAATTGAATAACGGATGCAGTGACAGCATTTTCTGAGCATATAAACTGGAAGATCAATAAATAATGCTAATTACAACGAGAATAAAAACATGGTATACAATATATAAACAGGATGTAGTCAGGTAATTGACGGCAACAGTATTTGTTAAACTGGGGACAAAGTAATGACATAATAAGCTGTGATTAGAATCTAGGTCGTGTTTCCAGCTACTTTCCAAAATTATACTGCTATCTTCCGTTACTTATTGACAGCGAGACAAGTACAAATGACGATGGACTATTCAAGTTATTGTTTTGGTGGTAGACAATGCTTTAGACTTTAAGTCCACAGAGTTAGCCGTAACCTGCTTGACATGTTTTAATTCATTCGAATAGTGGAACGGTTCAGAATATACACATGTACCTGGCACTATTCTATGATTAATTGAAATATGGAAATTACGAAATTGATTTTGATTATAGGGTTGTTGCACTACCTCATGTAGATTCTAACTTTTCTTAAGATCACTTTGGATTTTCCTCAGACGCCTCTTCGGCTTCACAATTTAGTCCATTAGCATCGTCGAAGAGTCCTGGAAAGATGAAACAGCTGTATGATGCAGTTAAATTCATTGTTTAGCTCTGCTGTATCTAAGTCTACATTGTTAAACTATGGTATTCATTCGTGTGTCTTTTGTACAATCTTTCACGAATACCAAATGGTTCTGATTTCAGTAAGGACAGAACAAATTCAACATTGATATATTAAGATATCTACCCACAAAATAAGTTTAAGATAACCTTTGGGATAGACTTTGTAACGTGATATTATTTATCAGAAAATTGTACAGCATTCTTATTTGAATAAAACTATCTGTTAAAGCATGTACGACTGTACACAGGTAAGCCACCTACAGATAAGGACATGGATTGTCATTGATGTTTACAAACTAAATGGTTTTAATGGAAGAATTATGTGATAGATCCAATTTATTTAGTATCATGTATGAAGAAGGGACAGGTCGGCGATAGCCTCAATTCAATATTATCACATATAAATTGAATAAGGTTAATGGAGGTTAACGTGATGTATGAATTGCTATAATTAAATCCGGGTTTCCGCTAACTGACACACCTGAAAAATCCTGTTCATGCAAATATTTCGTATTACGACGTTAAGTTAGGATTCCCGAAAAAATATCTCGAAAATCTTCTGAGAACAGGGAAATACGAAAAAGAAGGACTTGGTAACTTTTTGTCACCTGTTTTCTTTCCGAAACTAAATCAATATGAAATATGTTTCTTAATCTCATATAAATAAGACTACACTCTCATAATGACCAGTTCAATACTGCCTAAAATTACGGTCACAGATACTTGTTTGTCATGTTGCAATGACTAGACCTGTATCAATAGTCTGAGCAACGATAATTCACTCTTAATGGTTAAAAGAAGTGTAAAGCTATCCTTTAGCATTTGTCCATAGTTACATGCCAGCCTACCTTGAAATGAACTTCGAATCCTTAATGAATCAGTGGTTGTTAGGCGCAAATGCAACCTTTTTGTGATAAATACCTGCAATTTTGTTCTTTTAATGTGAATTGTATTTCATCTCAGTTCTCATATACTTAAACATGATATATATATATATATACATATATGCGTTATTTTCATTTAAATACCTCAATATAAAGATATACCACAGTATATTCCAACCATATCGAAAAGGGGAAATAACTCATCAGTATTCAGTTACGTTCATCCTACCTGGAGAAAATAGTCTATTCATCTGACGAAGACTTTTAAGTGAAAGCTGATGTCGATAACATCATTTAATTGATATCAATAAAACCCGTTTGATGCACAAACCATTTCAAGGCATTCAGGTTTTTGCACATTAATAACTTTCACTTTGCTTACCCCTCTGGGACACTTATCTTCTTTGACACGAGTTTTACGTTGAGTTAGCAGGTGGCGCTGCAATAGCAAACTATTTCAAAGTGCAAATAAATAACTTTCGTCGTTTTGTTTACTTTTTTGTAAATGGTTTAAGGTATTGCTTTAAAATTGGTTGTTGCCACATTTTAAAACTTGTTTTTAAAGCATGATATCGATAAAAACAAACGTTTTGTTGAATTTCTTTTATCCATAGACTGCACGCAAGTGTAAATATTCAGATATAGATATTGGTTTGCCCATAGAATTATTTACAAAAGGCGGCATTTCGTCAACATTGTCCTTTCAAAGACGTTGGTAACAAGCAATCTAATGGATTACAAGCGTTTACAAGCATTCGAAACTTTTGTTCTGCATGCTGTTATTTTTCTAGGACATAGTGATGAGTACCCATATCTAATAAAGCTACGTCCCATTTCTTTCGGGAATCGTCCTTTTGTTCATATTTTGCACTAGTTTCATTAACTTTGAGATTGATTTCAAAATCATGTTGACACGTCGGAATTTGTTGTTGTTGTTGTTTTCAAGTCTGCACAATAACAAATATTTATTTATATTTATTGAACAGTTAGGTATTTGTAACATTTGATATCGGACAATATGCAAATAAGCTCACCTTCTGAATAATAACAGCAATACAGCAGACACAGCAATGTAATATGCATGTAAAACGATTCATCTTTCCTGCAAAATATTGTGTAAAGGGAGGTAATCCTAATGATATGTCCGCATTTATGTAATCGCAAACAAACCTTTGTTCTATATATAAAAGTGATAAAATTAGCGAATAAAAAGCAATGTAACTTTGATAAACACATGATTGTAAAACAAGAAGCTAATATACTGATGACCTTCATTACATATTCATTCTCAGATGAGAAAATGGAGAAAAGGATAGTTACATGGATATGTCCACTGTCTTCTAGGACATCATGCAAATGTGGTATCACCAGATTTATGAAATATAACATGGGCGTTTCGTGGGCTAGGATACATCAACTCGAATATAAGACATTGCCTGGTCAGCTTGAGGCTTTCCTAGTACCAGCGAAAGTCTTTCTCATGCTTTCTTATTTTTCTTGCATGCTAAACGAACTCAATTTATCAGTTTTCCCTTAGCTTAACAAGTGTCAAAAAAACTTCACACCATCTGATAGTAGGTTTGGACATTTCATAGATAGCCAACATAGCCCTGCAGTATTGATATTGTAACGAACGCTAATTCAATACTTGGCCTGAGGAAAGAATCTTACATCAAATTAGATCACATAACGCCAGCTGTTGGAGCTCGTAAACAATCGTATGGTGTAGAGTGAACTTAACATACTTTACTATATAGTTTACAATTCATACTCATGTACACGCATTTCGATCCAGGTTTTCATATTACGTAATCAGACAGGTTGTCAAGAATGTCCTGCTGTCTATCGGTACACTTCCAAACATCCTCTTTCGGGATGTTGTGGTGGTGTAATGATTAAGCTGTCTGGCATTTCTTGACAAGGCGATTTGGTGCCGAAGATCGTGACTTTGAAACCCAGAAAGGTACGAGTCAAAATCGTCTTCCTTAGTTGTTTTTACAATGTCCACACTGTTATTAAGTTAACACAATGCATCATATACAGTTATGTTGTTGAAGGTTCCAGATTTGATTTTTATATTGAAATTTATATATATTGTATATGTAAAAAGTACTCGTAGTGTGATTTGACTGCTGACTACGAAATTATCGGTATTCTGAATGATAAAAATGACAGAGAAACTCGTGGTCTCTTTATACAATTTTATTCAGAAAATCATTCCAACAACATGTATGTTATATCTAATAAAGACAATAAGTTTATATACTGTCTTTACAACTATTTATGCATGAAATCAATATACTTTCAAGTTCAATTAAAGGAAACACGCTTACTATGGCAAATTAAATTGCAAACAGAGAAATAAAGTATAGATAAAAACAATTTGCAGATAAGCAATTTCGTACCTTAAACAGTAATTGTCAAAAATGTTTTTTTTTTATTTCTAAATGAATCATAATATAAGCGTTGCATGTCACAATTATAAGCAACCTGCCAAGCAAAAATATTCATATATTCTTCTCTTCAATCCATGTGCAATGAAATATGCCAGAGGCAAAGTCGACAGTGGAAATTGAACTCGTGATCTCGTGACATGTAAATAAATAAAACTCATGTAAGCTTTTTACAAAAGCTCAAGTGAACTAAGTCATCAACGTTATATCAAATCATTTTAATTATCTCGATTGCCATTCACGAAACTTATGCCATTTATGGAGTCAATTTATTACTTGTAGGAAACAAAAGGAAATAAAAGAAATATATATTTACATATATATCAATGAAGTGAAAACATGGATGAATTATGTACAAATGAAGTTTCTATGTCAATATATCATCAGCAAACGCTGAAGTAAAGTGATGTTCACGCTGGAAAGCAACGAAAAAAATGAAACAGTGTGATATCTAGAAGGATGGGAAATATTTTAAAGATATTTGATTAGTTATAATCTGGAACAATATATCTGAATATGTAGATTTATGTACATTTAGTGTTATAAATAACATAAGAGAAAAAATAAAAGTCGTATTTCGATGCTCAAAGTTATGCGTTTTAAGTTAAGTATTCCCTGATTATAAAGAAAATATCAACACGTTTAAAAAATGAAAGCTTATAAGAAAAAGAAGATTTAATATACCCTATAAACACTTAACGATAAGTAGAGAAAATATTTTCTTTTCTTACTCTTCCCAATGTAGCGGCGAAACCTCGTTTGCACAGATAAGTAACTCAGTCAATATATCTAATAGGTATTTAAATGTATTTAATCAAACTGCTACGAAATATTATCTTTACTAAGTGTATAAGATTATTTTTGTGCACAGTTGGAGACATGAAACCATAAAGTTCAACGCCTTGATATCATTAAACTCTTTTTTTCAGGAGAAAGTAAAAAGTGTGTTGTTACAAATGAATGTCAGAATGTCGATACATTAAAGCATGCTATTCCGTTAAGTTCTCAAATATAAGAGTATCTCGATGATCGATTTAACTAATGAAATAATATCCATTGTATCAATTTTTTGAGGCTGTGAAAGACGACTCTTGCCGAAGCTAGATACCCTGCGATATTAGAAATTTACATAAACTGCTAGGTGACATCAGGTAGTTGTATCTATGCTTCTTGTTTATTTAGTTACTAGCATCCGTAAAGTTGTTCCAGGTAGCTGATTTTAGGCTTGATAAGCTCCAAACCAAAGTATGTCTGTTCGGGTATCCTCAGATAATTTCCATGAGATGACTGGGAAGGAATTCTCACATAAATGATGTCGTCACACTGCAGTTCAAACATGCCTATGTGATTGATGAAGTCCACCGGATATCGTGTGGTTGTGTTAGAAGCCATGTTCGGATATGCACTTCCACTTTAAAACAAAGAAGACATCCATCAGAATGAGTCACTTTTTCATATATTCTTAATAGTTTCTGAAATTTCATTATTTTTACATCCATTTCCTTTGGTATCACGTTTTTATACACTTTTTTCTCGTACCATTTTTCCTCAACTTTTTAAGGCAATGGTGCTGTGGAAATATTCCGGTCGTTATCATATAAATCTGTCTTCACATATACATGTTCGATCTTTTTCCACATTTGCATGATCACTCAACATGAAATCAATTTTCGTTAATAAAACCGTTCGAACCCATTTCTTTGAGTTAACATTGTTGTCTTTTCGCACTAACATAGAACTTCTTTGTAAATTGGTTTTTAAACATAATGACAAAACTTCATTTATTTGAATATAAAGATTGAAATATAATATATATATATAAGAATATATATGATATAAAAAATTTAATATATTACTGGCGTACTCATTATATGTAGTTCACAAATGATACAAAATACGTTATTTAAGTTATAGGTCATTATTTTGTACATGCATCTAACAGTTTTGAAAAGAGTTTCGATTTCGATATAAATTGATTGTAAAGCGTTTTACACAACTACCTTTCAAATACATCCTTGTACATATTGGGCAATCAAAGAAAGAAATGTCAATGTTCTCAAAAAAGAAAAGGGTTATTTAACTACATTTCAGCAAAAGGTAAGAGACGTTCATTAAGAAAAATTAAAAGGAGAGTTAGTATATTACTCACCGACCATCCTGAGTGACGTAACTTCTCAACAGTACTTCTGGTGGTAGTGATTGCCTCCTCCTGACAGTCTCTACTCCGTAAGCAGGATCAAAGCTGTGGACACAGAAAACATGTCACATTCTGTGATCACACCCATCACAGTGTTTTATTTACATGGTAAAAGGCTATATGTCCCTATAAAATTCATTTCAAAATATTTGAAAACTTTAACTTTATTTGACTCTTAAGTGGTTCCTTAAGTTTTTTCCGTATTTGGTAAATAATACCGCATTTGGCTTTGATCTGAATGCAACAACGGTGAATTTTGGCGAAGAGAAAGTGATGCCATATGGTTATTTTTTCGTAAACATGTTTGACGGATTTGATTTCTGAACAAGACCAAGAATTTTTCATTTTATCGAGTTTCATTGATATTGTATGAAATGGAAGCTACTGTGATTTATCTATATTTTTCACATACCGTTAACCATTTTATTAAAACAACAAGTTTGACATGATATCATTCTGCTAGACTGGAATAAAATCTTCAATTTCGTTTTTTTTAAATTCTATATAGCGACACAATGCGTATTAACTATGAAAATCATAATAGAACCAACATCACACTGTCAACTCCAAAAGGTCGTATAACATATATGCCATAACGAAACTTTGTGTAATAAGGATTGCACTGATAGGTAGGTAGCTTTGTGATAGTTGGCAATGTTGTACTGTAAATAATTTGCATTAAGAGAACACATACCCTGAATAAGGTCCTTTGATTACCACCTGGCTGTAGATGAGATATAACCCCGGGTTGGTAATATTGACGGCCAATATTTTGGTACTATCCTGTACTTCATTTACATACTGAAAGGAAGGATTCGGATAGCTCGGATCTTGGTGATTCCATCTGAATAAAGTTGTTCTCTCTACAAAATAAAGTATTCGCCTGTTAAAGTTGATGGTGTGTTGGTGAGCATTAATGATATACTTCCAGAATACAATTTCACCATTTAGAGCATTACATCTGCCAGTGGTCAGGCGGCGCTGTTGTAACGTATTCGCCTTTCACTTAGACGTGGGAGTTTCGATTCTTGGAACGGAACTAAAAAGGTATGGGGTCACATGTCTGACCATTTAGGTAAACCTGTTACTATAACAGTAAGACCCCTCGCATGCTTCTATCCGGGTCAACAAGAGTGATTAATATAAACTTTTTAGCTATTTTTGAAAAATATATAAAGTTTATTTTTTAAAAACTAATTTATGTATTTATGAACTTCCTATGAAAGCTAATGGTGTTGAAAATGGTCAAAAGTTGAATTTTAAAATATAATGTACCATATAAGTATATTAAGATACAAATGTAAAAAAAATAGTAAACTGATAAAACGTGTGTGCAAATTGTTGTTAAACGTACAAGCATACGCTTAGGGTTGTGTAGTCATCAATTAACTTTGGCTCGAAGGATGCAATCTAGTTCCTTATTCAATATTACTTTTGTGATGAAATAACAAAGACTAGAAACTTTGTTAATTGGTAAAAAACCTGATTGGGGGCAATTAGTATACAAGACAGAATTACGAACTTACAGTATCATCATAATCATGTGGCTGTCATTGCAGTATCATTGATAATAAACATGATACTACTCTTACACATTTTCAAGTTGCTGTTATAACCTATTTGTTTACTTTGTTAACATTTGGGAACGTAACATTACTTACTGGAATTGATAAGAATCGATGAAGCAAAAGACGTTTCCTAATTCCAGAATATTTGGTGTAATTCTCCTCGACCCTTTCTTTAGTAAACATGTGAATCTTTATTTTGTTCTTATGTTGTCATAGCTTCATCGAATTTGTGTTTGAACCAAGTTTCTATTCACATGTCGGTATTTTCCTTTTTGAACTCATGGAATCAAAGTAACGAGGAAAAATAAGTTAAAATCAGTTTTGAATACAAACGAAGTGATTTTGATTCAGTTTGACCAGATTGACAAATTACCAAATGGTATAATAATACCTCCTTCATTTTATAAGGGAATATCTGTATATATCCAATATAGTAGCTGTTGTATATTTTGTATTTGTATTTAAAGTGATGTTATAAGTTATATACCACTTGTTGAAAACAGTCTATTCTGGATCACTGCGTCAGATTCTGCGCCATCGGATCCCCTCATATGTATGGCAGGACGGCTGAGGATTCCTGGAAAAAATGACTACCACTTTTATCAGCTAAAAATTTAAGTGATGTCAATTAGAAAATCACTAATTCATATTTTTGTCTATTTTTACAGCGATGTAAACATGTTTCAATCAATATAACACAAGTTCATATTTACCCTGATAGGTCCAGAATATACAAAATGGCAAAACGGAATTCAGTTATTGACTTATAAAAGTGTTGTGAATTGATATAAGATATTTTTCATATTTAATCACCATCTTCCATACAACAACTAAGGATATCCCTTATAAGGGGCCTTCGGCGTCCATCTTGACTTAACTTTATACTCAGTATTTGTTCTACGTTCTATGTATGTGATGTAATTTACGTAATATTTGTGTCTTGATAAAGGGCAGATTGCTTCGAAAATTTTACAATTCACTTGTCCGTACTTTTGCTATTACTTCATTGATTATATATAAACTGTAATGATGATGGTTATTGTACATGGTATATTTCTTTTACAAAATTACCATATACTATACTTCTTAATTACTCTAGATTTACTTGATTTAGCACATTAATTTTTTTTTTTTTTTTTTTTTTTGCGAATTATTACATTTCGGTAAATTAGTACAATGACAAATTCGCACATCAATAATCATACATATACAAATTATGTACAGAAGTAACAGGAGTAAGCATATTGTAACGTAAAACCTTTAAGCACGAAAACCGCTAAAATAAGATTAACACTTAAATATGTACGTCTACAGTATTATGGCATGAGAATAAACACCGAAAAAAGACAAACTTACGAGATATGGCATCCCTATTGCGTTGAGTCGTTACTAAACAAAAACAGAACATACCAATAAGATAAAAACATTAGAAAGGAGGTGTTGTGTACACAATACAAAATGTTAATTTACACTGCATGTAAACTGATATTTCAGTATTCTGTAGTTATTATTGACATGGAACTAATAAGAAAGACAACACCTTCATTTGATTTATCTATTAATCTTGCAGTTTTATCATGATACAAACACAATTCAATACAGTGTAGTGAATTGTTTTACACGGCGTTTTCAATTAGCAATGAATGCGAAAATGTGTTCATCTACATTGAGATAAAACTTTTACTGTTTTATACATCCATTTACATCTTTTTAAGTGACAAAAATAAGTAGAACGAAACAAATCTGGCTACTTACTTTCGAGTTGGTTTAAAACTGGAAACGAATAGAAAAATATGGTGTATTACATTTCAACCTGATACGTGAAGATATAAACCACGATAACAAACTAAATAAGACATTACTTTCAGCATTTTTCACTAGATGAATAGTTAAGATTTGTAAAGAATATAAATTGAGAAGAGAATGCAATTGATATTATGCATGTATTCAACTATATGTTTTGAACAAGGGAAGACGAATTATAAGTTTTGATATCTGCTGTGTATTTCTAGATTAAATATATTTAGATTAAACTTAAAATATAAACTTTATTTATTTTACAACAATTGCGAAACAAGTTATGTCAACTTATACTAATCACTCTTGTTGGCCCGGATGTAAGCGCGCGAGGGGTCTTATTGTGGGAGGAAACTTACTTTCTCTTCTACGTCTCCGGGTCTGTATGGAAAATGAAATGAGAAATCATTAAGGTCGATTCCAGTTTAGAATGTAACGAATATGAAAGATTGTGTAAAATATTCTTAATTAGATAGCACCTTTTCTATACAAATCTACTCTTGGATACAATCGGGCCAAACAATGAATTAAAGTGCATTATAACACTATTTCGTCCATCACCAACTTGATGTTCTTTCCGTTTAATAACATAGTTTATATATATGATTTGTAAAGAGAAGAGATTTTGAATGAATCTGCAAACAGGTTTGTTGAAGATTTCTTAACCAGAAATGACATTAAGTATGTTCATCACATTTGCAAAACAAAGCAGAACCGGGCTAACATTTTAAGACTGACATGCAAACTTGGGCAGTGTTAACAATATACAGAACGTTTTAAAAAGAGAAATCGGCGCTTTGTTAAACAATTACGTAAATATATATTTTCTTGGTCAAAATGATGTGCTATGGGTCCATTAAAACTGTTCGTGTAATGTAAGTAAAAAAGCTCAAAGTCATGCCATTAGTTGTAAAATGAAATATGAGATCAAAGTTTGTATCTTAATGAAAGCGTACAAGTATAAATGGCAGCAAATACGTAATATTCCTTCGACAATCATGATCAAAACAAAATATATAATAATAACCTGACACAAATTCTTTGTGTCATTTAATATCAATATTTGCTATTCACCGCATTTATCATATGCAGTGTTTTTTGTTTATCGATGGGAAATAACTCGTGAAAGCATGTTACAAATCCATCAAATTATCGCCCTTTAACAATACCATGTGAAGCCAGAATAATTTCTAACTATTGCCTTTAGATTGGAAAGATAACTTAAAATTAGGCCTTTAGCATCATTGATGAGTTTCTACAAGGACAAAACAGCTATATTATGCTTTTTAATTTTGTTCCACTGTGTCTTATTCTACGTTGCATTAAAATGTGCTATTCGCTTGTGTCCATTATACAATGTTCCTTTACAGGGTACTTGATACCTGCGGCATTAAGACATGTTAAGAGTCGACCTTCTTTCATTTACTCGAAGAGAGAGATATTTCGTGTTAATAGTCAGCCTTCTCTCAAGTAATACTATTTAACATATACATTTATGGAGACTGAAGTAAACACCACTGAATAATTTTAATTGCGTCAGGGTTCCGTTTATTGATATCTACAAGCTATGTGTATCGATACGTAAGGTCATTTTAATAGGTTACCTGTACATGTGATCTATATATTTTTGACAATACACATGAAAATATTCAAACATGACACTGAATCATACTAAAACAAGGAATTCGGGACATATCTCAATAATTTATATAAAATTATAGTTTTGTGAACTCGAAGAACAAAGGAAACACGCCTCAAATGCTTACCAAGGCGTTAAATATTTTAAGTTGTTTTAACATACTTAACAGCGACATGCACACCAGACCGATCGAACGTCTCTTTTATGTTATTGATTTGATGTACCACCGTCGTTGCCAGTGATTAGTACATGTGCGACATTGCCATTTTATTTTTTATCAATGATATTATTTTGAATTACTATAGCATAGGGAAAGGGGACGGGGTAGAAGTTGTCAAGCTCGTTGTTATTTGTCCACATGTATATATATTTGTTGAAAATTATTATCAACTAAGTAATATTTATCTATTACCTGTTTTAAAATCACTTTTGGTAGTTCTTCAATCATGAAGATATGTTGATATGCATAAAAACTGTGTTTACATTGAAAGCTTGAATGAAAAGTACAACAATATTATGATAAACTTAAATTGATGTTATGATAAACCTGATTTATTTGCACAAGATAATGATTGAATTAAGTACAAACTGACGGTACATTAATTATGATATAAGTACAAATATGCATATAATCAATTAATCAATAGCGTTTAGACCGCCTTAGAAATAAAAATTAGATTATGAAGTTCCTTTATCCTTTTATGGCTGATAGAAAATTTATCTAGAAGGCAATTAAGTATTATCAGCTTCAGCCGAAATAGACACAAACTGGGAGGGACACTAACCATTTCAATAATATTGGATAATTTTATCAATGCAAATCATACATTTTCAATATTTTTTCTTTTTACAAAAAGTGAACCGGCATCTGTGAATATTAACATCTTTCTGATAGAGCTAAACCTCAATTTGTATTTGGAATGGATGCGTATTAATTGAAAAGAAGAGAGGAATGTATTAATCAGTTGTAACAATATGTTTATGATGAACTAATACTTAAACTACATATCTAGGATTTTATTTTCAACCTCTTTGCTCTTTGGTCAAAATGATTTAATGATTTGCGTTCCATACAGACATGTCATCGAAAAAAAATGCAAATAAGATTAACAATTAAAGCATTTTAAACAGAGATGGAAACCGGCTTTAATGATTTTGTTTCCAAAAAGGCAACTTTGAGTACAAATTTAAATCCAATACAAACGATGCAACAGCTGTTTGTTTTCTTCTAAGACATGAAAAGGATGCCGAATACCTATGACATGATTTCGTGATTGTTTTTCAGGTTTATCTTTTGTCTCAAGTTCTCTATTTGAATTTTCTATTCACTAATTAAAGATTAACAGGTGTCATAGTAACATATCTATTTAAATTTTCTAAACGCAGCTCTCTTTTTTACAAACTACATCTTGAACAGCATTAACGTGTTGTCGAAGCTCGATACAATAATTCGGTGGAATTTTTATATATTTTGAAAACAAGCTATCTATATCTAATAGTAAATTCGTGCAATCCTTATATATGCCTTTTACAAAGTAAACAAAAAACCCTACCTGTATGTTTACTATATCTTATTGTGCTACACGATTCTTGTTAATATTACTACGAAATGATAACGATTTCAAACCCTTTCCAAAATACTGTGTATCTATTTCCTACTGTTAAATAGCAGAAGTGATATGCTAGACACTTGTTTACCTTACAAGATAATTTGCGAGTTTAACATAAATTTAATAAATGTTAGTTATACATAACATGCTATCATTTCAAATAAAGGATTACCTGGCGGTAATTTCTCTTCCGAATGCTTCTTTCCTTGTTTTGATGGGGGAACACACTTGCGGGATTCTGAAGTGATGAAGTCAGCTGGCTAGCGAGAGGAGGAATTTCTCTTTTCTGCGATTGCTGTAGCACTGACAGTTCATTCGATATTTGCATGCACTTGTAATGTAGAAAAATATTTGATACAAATAATACGAAGAGAAGACCGAGATTCGTCCAGCTGATAAACTTCGAGCAACAACGGCTGCAAGAGGCGCAAGTCTGACCCGTGGCGGGAGATCCGTCTTTATCGTTGATGACAATGACTGAACGTTTTTGCACTTTGCACTCCATTTTTAAGTAAAATGTTTTCTAACGGGAATCCCCTATTGGAATACCACAGATGCCATCCCCAGAGTTTCGGTACCTGGTGTATCTGGTGTCGGTATCCCGGGCCAGGTGACGGTAATGTTCTGGTTTGGCCCAAAGGCGGTGTCTATATGTATATAGGCGGGGCGAATTGGTCACAATAAATCCTTAAAAGGGCATGCTTCCAGGAATAAAGAACTTCTTTCCATTTAATGCTGGCATCTAAATATGACAGCACGATTTTTCTGTTCACGTGTTTTTCATTGTGTAATGTTCAATTTGTCACTAGTAGATCTGTGATATTGAATACTTCACAAGCCTTCGTTGCGTTCTTTTTACTTTTAACAGCGTTTTAAAAGTACTCTTTGCAGATAATTTGTAATAGAAGTAAAGTCCTACCGGACGTTTTATAGTGTTGTAAATTAAAATCAGTTTAGTGCATGACCGCTTTATCCATATATCTAAAAATAGTTAAATAAAAACTATATGTGCCTGAGCAGGTATAAAAATAGTTTTCTCCGTGTATATTTCTATCCGGTAACATGAGGGTAATGTTTATACATTTACACTTAACTGCCGGAAACTGTCAAGGCCGCGTAACAACGCGGTGTGATGTGAGAATCGTCATGCCTGGCACTCTATACAATTGTATGTCAGGGACGAATATAAGTATACCAATTAAACTAATAATGGATGTCATGTTCGGTGACTTTAGATATATGTTAAACTGAGTCTGAAATCAAAATGACCCCATGCTGAAAAACTAGATCTCGATCAAATGGTTCTAAATGGGTCAACTTTTTCTGTCGCATTATAGCCAATTCATACACATATACTAACCATCCATAAACATCAACGTATGCTGTTATCGGTGTACATATTGTAATACGTTTACAGGCATTTTGAAATGCTCTGTGCATTGATATTTATACAAACTATGTGCAAAAATGGGGAAGGGGCTGATATTCAGTATAAATGAATTTGCTTTGAATGACATGCATTTATCTAAACAATCTCTTAATAACAGAAGACTTCTAACTAGTTGTCATTCACATTTGGCTGTAAGGAAGATGCAACTATATCACAGCAGTAAATGCATTCTCGCTCTTGCAAAAAGTAGCAAATAAAAATTACAACGCTTTTCACAATGTTTAAACTGGTGTAGCAAGTGTGTGCCAGGTGGATATCGCCCATGAAGCAGAAACAGGAGACGCTTACTCTTCCGAACCACCTGATCGTATTCTTCATGTACTTTGTCTCTGTGTAAATCATTCGTCTATTCATATTTTGCGCAAGTGTTATTGAATTTGGGTTTGGATTTCGATTATGTTCATATATTAGTATTTTTGTTGTTGATCCTGTATCAGACGGTAGTATGAAACCTGATTTTAAAGTTTGTTTTTGCGAGCTCTTTGTTGCTTTACAAACGCTTACGAAAATTAACATTATCGGCTGATCTTTTTACATTGTATTTACATCTCGTTCTATCTTAATTCAGTTTCTCGTTTGTCTCAGTTTTCAGGTTGTCTTAAAAACCATAAAAACGCTTCTACGAAATGGATATTCTATATCTGCAAGGATATTTGAATAAGGGAAATCCAATGTTGTAGAAAAATGTATAATTATTTATTTCATCATGTAACAACTCAGACAAAATGGATAATTTTACATCTCTCACTCCATTGTTTTATATATACATACTTATATATGCTTTGATGTAAAATTCAAAATGGTTAAAAAGTCGCCAATGTGAATCGGAAATGTAATATAGTACAGCAGTTAACAGTTATGATCATCGATCATTCGAATGAAAGTGAAATTATCTTAAACGTTTAACCCTTTAAATCTTTAATATGCTTGTAACAAACAATGCTACAGATTTCACATATTTAATATACTGCTATATATAAGGAAATTAGCCTTTCTGTATACGTTACTTATATTACCTGTTACATGCGTAAAGCCAGTGATCACAATTAAAACGTTTTTATATTATTTTTACGTTATATCTTGTCGTTGTATGATGTCAAAAAGAAACGTTTTATACCATGAAAAATAAAAAAAAAGATCACGAGGTAGAAAATTTAAGAATATTTCTAAATATCATTTAATATAAGCTTTCTTCGTGATGTTAAATAGGTTGTTAGGTCAAAGACTGATTTACGACAAACACTTAATTCAACATTAACACATATTAAGCTCACGCGTAAATGTCCTATACTACAAATTTAATGAAAATATCGATGAGTAAAATACAGCAAATCTATTAATAGTCTGTTGTTGGAATATGATTAGTTAAGTTGGAGATATCACAACATACAAAATATCACAAAAAGTGCATGACGAACAAAGGTTTCGTATTATCACTTGCCTCTTCTGTAGGACGACGTTTGGGTTTCAAGGGCAAGAAAAAATTGCCTCTTCTTTTCTTTTCAATTGCCATGATGACCCTTATATATAATCAAGCTTCTGCTAACTTAACAAATCCGAAGAAGGAGGCATTTCCCCGAAAGTCAGCTTTCACATTTGTATCTTCTGTATGCTTCAAAAATACACTATCACCACTGTCTAGTTTAAACACACCAACAGATGAACATGTGATATACTTTTTCATCTGTCGCACGTGTAAATCATGTCGGACTTCCTGTTCGTGTTGAAAGTCCATCATACATTTCGTCAAAACTTTCTCCTCATTACCTTTGTGATGAACCTGAATAACCAGAAAGCCTTGGTCTGGTTCTCCCATAAGTGTTACCTGTGGTTCCACAAAAAAGAATACTGTTATTGCCAGAAAATAAGGAGTTATCTCCCTTCATAGATCAACATGATGCAGTGAAATAACGAAATGCTATAATCAAATACACCAGTCAAGTGTTTCAATTTAAGAATATAAGAAATTCCATCCAATATGTCGGTTGGTTTCTCGATAAATACTATCACTTTAAAAGAATTGTTAACATATATTCGAGATTCATCCAATTTGTAAATTGGTTCTCGAAAACCTGAAATAACTTTTGAAGACAGGTAAGCATTTATTTTGATACATATGTTTTTTTCAGCCATGTTTCATGGTTATATCTTAGTTACAAAACAGATCTTACCTGAGCATACACCATGTATATTCCACTGTCAGCAATAACGACAGATCCGCTGTTGAAATCTAGTCGAAATTTTTCCTTCAGGAACTCTTTCTGATATGCCCATTCAGAATACTGCCATTTGTGGAATCTCCCTGCAAAAGCCTCTGTAAGTTAATCAGTGCAAGCATGAACAATAACATGTTGGCAATAAATATTCAGAATTTACATAACAGGATATGGGCATAATCATCTTAATCATCTTATTTATTCTTATTGTTGGCAAATCACAAACTTGACCATATATGTTGAAGTTGGTTTATCTCTAAACATAACAAAATAATGTTTTCATCTTTTAGCTAAAATCTTCTAAACTTACATTCAAAATAGGATCATTTTAAAAATGCTGATTATATTTTTATCGAAATAAAAATTATATAAGTCATGTTGCATATTCTATTTGCTTTCCGTGAATATCAAAATGGATAGATACTTTTAAATAGATGCATGGAGATGAAGCAATGTGTCGACTTAAAGATTGGACATGAAGCTGTGAATACTGTAGCTAAAACGCACACATAGAAGTAACGGTGACAACAATTGATATAGAGAGTGTTACCATGACACCACAAGCAGTACATTAAGATATTGCAGAATATTTATTTGAATGCTTTAGAGCGCTTTGTCTATTAAGCAAAGCAACTTAATTGCACGTTGATAGATTTGTGGTGAAGACATTGGATGGAACAAATTAAAATAACGTCACATTATGTGGTAGTGTTATTCGCTTGGAAACATTAGCGACATATTTTTGACATAGTGATAGCCTAAGAGAGAAAAATATCCCGAGAATATCGATGGAATATAATTTCATTTCATATTTTACCGAAAAAAAGAGAGATTTTCTTCTTCAAGCATTGACAGGATTATGCTCAGTGACTGTTTGGAAAATAATGATCGGAATACTGATTAATCCTAGAGGGTAAAGTTTGATAACGTATTTGCATTGAAATGTGTTCAAATGTAATATCCACTTGTGTATCATTGCGCTATATATGGACAAGAATTACACATTCCATGATTTTTAATGTGTAACGCTTTAAATATCATTTTTGTAACACTTTCCAAATATAGTATACTCCTTTAAATGAACATGTAATCTGCACTGAATGTCATAAGAAACAAGCATGGGAATGCATGTAAAACACTATCAGGTCTTCATAAGTTAGTGGACAGTTTATCACATGTAATCAATACTAATTTGCTGCGTGATGTAGTTAGTTTCAACATTATGCTATTTACTGTATCTAACCTCTAAATTGGTTTTGAAAGGTGTTGTTAACTAGCGTGTCTTTTATACAGTCTTCAAGATTGCAGATAGTAGACACGCTTTGATTCATTCGAATAGTGGCATATATATAATTAACTTATGCAATATGTAAAATTTACGACATTTCTTGATATATCGAGCTAGTGCACATCTCAATCGTATATTTTTTGCTCTGTCAAATTTGGTTTTCCTCATCCACCTCCCAAGTACCAACATTTTGCCCATAGCATCACTGATGAGCACAAGAAAGTCGAAACAGCTGCATGTGTGCATTTTGATTCATCATTTCGCTCTACCGTATCTAATTCTATATTCTATAGGAAGGTGTTATCCGTTTGCGTGCCTCATCTATAGTTTAGGTATATTATTTAGATTGATGATATGAGAACGTATGCTGACTACATTTATCATTCCTCTTACTGTACGCTATATGAAAAAGCGAATTCGATATATAATATAGGTTTTATAATGAGTCTTTAATATTACTTTAACTTTTCTATATATATTTATGAGATATTTTAACAGAAATTACCGTTAGATGGTTCCTCGTTATCATCCGCCTTAAAATGCATGAATGCCAATCCTTTCGCCTAAAAGAATAAAGCAGCATACATAAGACAGAGGGTTATTACTAAGCGTAGTATAATAAATTACTTAGTTTCGAATTATAAGATCATTCAAATTGAATTTATCATATTGAAAATATCTTGAAGATACCATGATTACTCTCTGAAGACCCGGCTTTTAAGGAGAGTCATATTTTTTATGTTTGCTTATTTTCTAGTTTTTACGGCATGTGAACAACTCAAACACATATTTGAAGCAGTTGCGATGGGCTTAATGTCTTTTTGCTTCGAAATATCCCTCAAACAATACCGAAAAGTGTTTAAAAAGTATTTTAGTATATCTTTCCGTTTGTCTTTTTGGGAAATGGATCATCGTTGAAGATGCAGCTTTGAAAATGGTGGGTATGATTTAATAAAAAAATGTTATTGTTTTCGTAAAACTCAGTCTAGTTCAATTTACCGTTATCCTGTAGCGCATGAATGATAAAGCAGAATGTGAGGAAGTTGTTTTTGTTGCAGTCATAGAACAATGTATACTTTCCCCTTTCTATTGTCAAAATCATTTCATCCGAGGTGTTGGTAATTGACTTTATTGCAGTAGACCGAAGCAATTCATGCTTTCCCATGCTGTTGCCAAAAGCACTGGATTCGAGGGTGATGATAATTGATCTTATTGCAGTAGGCCGGAAATAGCAGATAATTGCTGTAGTATCAAATTCTGCTGATTTTTTTTGTCTAAATGCCAGCAGGGCGGCTTGTTGGTAGTCTATTATATATAAAAACCGCAATGTTTTTGGACATTTTTATGTGAAGAGTTGTGCAGTTTTGAGGTTTAATATGTCTTTATCAAGGTCTAACGGCGTTATAAATGAAGGATTAAAACAATTACTATAGCATCACGTAAGCAAGCAAGTATGCACACTGGTTATGTGCCATCAATACCTGTTTTCCTACATCACACTTCCTGTTTTGTAGAGAGATTGCTTTATCAAAGAAAATATGTATAAAAGAACAAATGCACAATAAATCTACTTATATAATATATCCCATAAAGCTTCGTTTTCTGCAATATCGGACTTACTTCAAATTGATTAAGGGTTTGTGATTATTATTTCTAAAAATCCATTGTTGGTGAATTTAAATAAACTGGGAAAATGTCTTTATCGATTAAGGAGAACAGGAAGTGTGACACTGTGCACAATTATGTTAACATTTATAGCAAGGCTTGTCAACTAAATATACATAACATGGGTTTTCAAACAGACCATTACCCCGAGGTCGGTGTTCGTTACCATCACCTTCAAAATGCACGGATAGCAGGGATCGCTAAAACAAATTGTAATTCTATTGTACGAAAATGTATTTATAATGACGTATTGAAAATCCACTTCAACAAATCAAAAACAGCAAAAAAGATTTGGAACATTTTTAAATCAAGCCAAATTTTATATATTATAATTCGTTAAGTCTCTATTAGTATCATGTCTCTCTACCTCAAAACAAACCAGCCTTATGAATCAATTTCGCAAGTCTAGTCAATGAACTAGCCTACCTGTCTGTTGTGACCATCTATTATTAGAACAAGTCAAACTTTGTTTTTGAAAACACTTGGTTATTGCGATCACATTACCCTAACATTATACAGCGACCACCTCACGTTTACCCAAATCAATCCCCATATATCATATGTATACCAAAATCATATGTTGAAATCTAAAGCCGCATTATTTTCAAGACATGCCAGTCTAACTATGTTCCGCCTCTTTTATGCACCTATTAGACTTAAACATAATTCTACAAATTGAAAATACGAACTGCTCATTGTTTTCTTGATGGATACCTATCTCATAGCAGCTTGCATCTAAGTGTCATTGATTCAAAAGTTGACACTAAATATAGACAAGGTTGACTTGTATAAGTAAACAAAAATATTTTCACAATATCACCATGTTACACAGACAAAAAAAGCAAATATCCTGATAAACAAGTGTTGCTTTACCCTCAGGGTAGTGCTCATTACCACCCCCTTCCAATTCCAAAGGAATGTTAAAACAGTCAAAACCGCCCATATACGCGACAACATGTGCTTGTACAAATGTTTTCAACTTAAATAAAATATATAAATATCTACCTCAGCACGTTTAACATTTTAATTATTCAATTTTATATATATTACTATTCGGTGTTTAAAGCTAAATTGAAGGCACGTAATATGTTGGGAATTTCAACCTTAAATGCATACGTCTAAAATGTTTGATGGTCATATTGTCTATAAGTGTCTATATGTTATAATAATGAAACAACTATTGAACCAATACAGTGTATTCCCTTTGTCATAGGCGAATATTTTCGAGTTTGTCATGAAAGATGATGAAGTGATAAATAGTATCAAACGGCGTCATTGAAGCATGTAATATAAATGACGTTCGCAACTTATGCAATGATATGACGTCATCATCAAGAAATTCAACATGTTGTTATGAAATGGTGATTTCTTGTGGAAGATACTCCTATCAAAGCATTACAAAAGATGCATCTTGATGAAAAATATTCGGAAGTTTTACGGTCGCGAAATATTCGGCTTCTTTGTGTGATATGAAGCAGGACGTGTTTGATGCTTGTTAGTTTGCCTGTTGGTTCCGTTGTTGTATACCTTGTTCTAATTTGAGAGCATGGCATTACTTACTCGGATTGGCCAAAATTTATATGGTGGATGTCATCGGTAAACTCTGCCGAACACCTGGTCTTATTCGCCTTATGTTATTTCAGGAGTATCCGTGTAAATATTTTTGTTCATATTTTGCACTAGTGTTATTAAATTTGAAATTTGTATCATGATAATAGAGACACGTTAATATGTTATTTTTGAATGTATATCATGGTAATATTAATAGGGTAATTAGTTAATGATTTTCATAAGCAATATCATGAAATATGTTTATTTTCTTTCGAAACACCTTCGAAATAGTTTTACAAATGATAAAGATATTTTTCTGCAGATGATAGACACTCTTTATAAAACAGAGTAGAGTAAGTATACCAATAACACCCATAGATAGTTTACTCCAAAGTGACCGTTTATAATAAACCACCTAACAGTGTAATTATGTTACACTTCTCTTTTAGTTCTTTAGTTCATACTTATAATAGCGGATTTCGATTTTCGTCTTTTAAGACTTATGCAGTTTCATGAGGAAGGCAAAAATAAAAGAAACACCTGTACTGTTATAAGTTAAGGTTAATTTGAGTTATTTGCCAAATATAAATGTTTCATTAACTTCATTGAATGTGTGTCTTCTGATGCTATAGAAAATCACGTCGGTACCGAAATCCACGACCACATATTTCTGTAGACAAAAAGTGAAATTCATACCATTAAACTCTTCATATACCTACGGAAATAGATCTATGATGAGTAATAACTGTTTTTTTTTTTTATTTTGAACATATGTTTTTCTAGTATTACTGAAAGCAATAGAAGCATTTTTAACTACTTGGAAATTACATGCAATTCTTCCTGGTAGTAAGAACATAGGATAGATTTATATTTTATTGTGTTAATTAGAATGTCTATGAATCGGCGAGGATGTACTTCAACAGCTACCCTTCCAAATGATTTCTACCACACTTTGGATATTGTGAAATGTGATTTGAGTCCTGTCATACATAGAGTTTCCATGGCAATGTTCGGATTAGCCACATGCCAGGTGGCCGTTGAGTATCATTACGATTTGAGGAATTCCCTCGGCTTTGTAAACCATAATTTCCATTTTAGCAACAGTTTTATGCTTTAAAGCTTTCTTATTATAGCACGTTATCAATGTTAGTACATGTACGCCATGATGAAGCTGTCTATCTATATACTATTTATTTAACAACATACCGAAAATGTCATTAATACAAAGATATTTTAGTGTTGTTTACCTTGATTATATTTTTGAAGTTTTTGTAACCTGACCTTTACTGACCTGGTGTTTATTGACGATTTTAATGACAACAAATTTGAAAAATTGATAATCAATAGTTGACATGGTATGTTTTCATTTTGCTAATCATTTTTTTCATTATTGCGTGCTGACATTAAGAACCTATCGCTACACGTTTGTGTATATTTACCCTGAACTAATAATGAGTCATGATATAGGACCAGGAAGTTTCATTGATTGGTTCTTGACTGAACCAATCAGCTATCTATCACGGTAAGATTGTTATGTCTCTATGTTAGGATTGTATTGATAAGTACTAAACAGAGCGTATCTGACTCTATGTATAGACCAATGTAACCAGCTCAAGGCCGTATCAGTATGATAGTTGTTGTGTTTGATATTAATAGCTATATGCAAGTATAACTGATAGATAACAATGTGCAAGAGTTTTTACCACGGCTTACACTTATAGCTTTGCCGATTGAGTACACTAAGGCAATCGACATTCTATATTTTCAATACAAGTCATGAACCGGCATATTTTTAAAAAAAAAAAAAATCAGTTTCGAAGACATTGAATTGAAAATGGAGCTTATCATAAATGTAACCATACTCTCAAATTTAAGTACAGCTTTGGTAACACACAAAGAATCATATGCATATCGTGCATACATCGTCAACAAATCTTCCGCACACTCGCACTTTACAGTATCTAGCGCACAACTGAGCAATAAGATTGCACATTTTGTGCGGTATGCTAAAAATGGTTGATTAATATTACATATTGAATATTAAACGGAAAAATCGTGTAGTATTGACTAAATAGCGATCACTAGTGTATTAGACTTGGAATTGGATTATAAATGTTATTTTCAATTCAACAGTTTTCAAAATGCCATCGAACTAGTGTTAGTTAGTTTCTGTAGAGTATAGTGTTACACCTTAGAGAGTGGTGAGTGGTGTGCCGCGGCCAACAAAATAATCTGCACACGGGTATACACGTGACTGGTCCAGATCAGTACTGGTTAAGTCTGTCTCGTAACAAACACAACACTTAATATTTATCTAAGAATAGATTTCTTTCTTTACAAAATGATGTGAAAATGACAGTTGTACGGAAGAAATGAAAACCATCTTTCGTTTCTGATGTCATGAAATTTGAGATTACTCATTGCTGAGACAAAAAGAGAGACTTCTAATTAAACTTTACATATATAATGTATATATAATGAGTGTTTGTACAATAAGAATGGTCACGTGTGGCACTTTGTAAACAAAACATTCTAAAATACGAGTGTATATAGCTATATAGTCTGTATGTGATAGATGTACATGTGCCTTACCTATACATCTATGACTTGATTACTAATATATGTAGCTATACTCTTATATATTACGAAAATAAATAATCTCTATTCCACTCATATCTATTAGTCATTTCTAAATTTATATCAATCACGATAAAATCGAATATCTGTGCGATAGAATCGAGCAATGTGCTCACAAATGTGAGATAGCTAGTTTCGTTCAGTTTTTCAATTGTGCACACATCGTGCGGACACCTGGTAACGTGGTTTGATCCCAAAACTGCACTTAAGTCCACTTCACTAAAAGTGTCATGTAAAAACAGTGAGTGATTGATGGATCACAATATTAATGCAATGTTCAGGAAAATCAATAGAATAAAGAAATACAACATAAACTCTGCAAGTCAAACCTATATCATGATTACAGAAACAGCACAGGAAAGGATGAGCAACAAATTCGCATGACTACATAACACAGAAAGGCAATATGAATTCAAGACACAACAGAACAAAAACAACAGGAACAAGAATGTCTTGATTCAAACTCCATGTGTCAGGGAAATATAGCAACTGGAAACAAGACATCTGACTTCGAATATCATATAATAATAAAACCATTATACCAGCATTATAAATGATGACACAGCGTGCATCATGGTAAAATTGTGAGTGTCTTTGTCCTTTTAACGGTTATTTTCCAATACGTTGTATAACTTACGGAAATAGATGCAATTGAATTGAATCCGACATGTTAATATTACAGGCTGGGGACTCATTGGGAAGTTATTTCTAGAAATGGACTATTCACAGTTATAGGAAAATCGAAGTTATCATGCTTATCAAACAGCTTGGTGAATAAATGGAACATATATTGTTTTCCTTTATGAAAATGTCATCAGATTCTAAGATTATGTTGGAGTTTTTTTAAATACAATTTTGCTATATAAAACTGAAAGAGTGTCGTAGACGGAAAATATAGGATCAGGATTGTTCAGGAACCATCAACATTTTTGTAATCAGATTACAAAGGTTGCTTGAACTTAAAATACGTTAATTCTTTACAAGGATTTAAATAAACTTTCAAACAATGGAGAATGTCTGTTTATAATGTACCAAATTCAGGTTATCCTATCGTCATCATTGTTGTTTTATGCAGGTTTAATATGATGTTTTTTTTTTTTCCATATTCATCAAACAGCTATATCAGAACTGAGGAAAACTAGCATGTATCCTGCGTATGTTTTTATATGTATTTATCAGGTAAGGATACCTATATGAATGTATTTGTTATGTTTATCCAGTTGTGAGTTTATATACAATGTCTTAAATCAAGCAACTGATGTCGTGTTAATGAAGTATTGATATGTGAATGATTTTATTGTGACCGTGAACTACAGCGTAAATGTAACATTTTATTTACAGATATACCAACCTTTATAAAGCAATGATTACGTATAATCGCAATATTGGTTCTTTTATTTGCAGAAAACATATTCAGTTCATGGAATAAAACACTGAAAAATTGAAAAATACTTGCACAAATTTGAGGATATCTGTGTGATACATAAAATAATGTCCGTTGCCAATGTTATAAATATGCCCTCGCAATGCATGTGTCTTTATCAGGATAGATCGGATTGGGAGAGAAAATTATTACGTCAAAATTATCTCGAACAACTACGGTCAACACAACCGATATGATTGGCATATTACCTATTAGATACAAGTAGTGCCAGACTGTCCACGTCACTAAAAAGTACATAATGAAAAGTAGACACTAAGGAGATACTAAACAATGGAGTGATATCGACAACAACACCACATAAACGACCGCGTTACAATAACAACGTAATAACATGTGTAATCCGCCAGGGTACAAAAAAAGAGAAAATATCACGGACAAATCAAGAATTTCCAAAACCATCGAGACACTTTAAATCTTTAGAAAAAGGCATCAAAATATCGGAAACGGATCAATTGCACAGTACAAACAGATTAAAAGTATGCATTAAAATGCTAGTTACCTTGTAAGAATAAAGATTGAAGCTGGATTAAGAATTTGATAAAACGCAGTATAACTATAAATTCATAAATTTGTAAACATTTCATTTTTGTACATTCACGTTACTTTTGAGTGTTGGCAAAGGTTTAACATATTATCAAAACTGCTTGCATGATGTTAAACTAATATTATGTTAAACGAAATATTGTCTATTGACTGTCATAAATATAGTTTTTTTAAGATATATGTATATAAAAAAAAATCTAAATTTTTATTTGATATACATACAAAACCATGAAATGTCATTCAAGTCCTTATCAAATTATAGTACTAAGTTCATATAAATACTTACAAGTAAGTACTGCTACGTATGTATAAAAAGTATATTTAATAACACATTTCCCCTTAGACGTGCTGTCAAGTGGGCTTTATTGACACCCTGCCAGATACGGTTAAGTGATTTGTATGGTAATAGTTGAAATAAAAACGCCCTTATCTCTCTATATATAAATGTGGGGGGATGGGGTGAGAGCGTGTGTGTGTGTGTGTGTGTGTGTGTGTGTGTGTGTGTGTGTGTGCGGGTGTGTGGTGGTGGTGGTGGTGGTGTGTGTGTATGTGTGTTGGGGGGGTATGTGTGCTCTCATAACGACCTCTATGTTTTGACCTGTATTGATGTAAAATAATCGGTTTCATGTGTAATACCTTATTCCACACTAGAAATAGATTTGGTAATGCTGAGTAAAGAAACAGAATAATAGTTACCAGAAAGAAAGAAAATCACATGTAATTATAAATAGTACAGACTTAGTTTATATAGCCGCCTTAAGAAATTAACATACGCATAAATGCATGCGATTAAATGGTTAAAAAACAAATTCTTACAGCTGTCATGAGTGAAAATGATTATCATTCACAACTGAAACAAGAAGACTTTTTATTATAAGGTTACGTTCAACAATAGGCAGTGAAAATGGGTTCGCACATCTATAACTCATACACTTTAAGGAAAAAATACAGGTTTTCAAGAATCACTTTTGAACCGCGATAAGTGGAACATATTGTAAACGATATATGCAGAATTTTGTCGACCTTTATCAGAAAATGATATCTCAAGCATCGTGTAGTCTCCTATATATATACACGAGGTCACGGAATATGCTGACTTGAACTTAATAAGACTTGTTTATTGTTAACCTTGATCACCGGATTAAGACAATGATCATGAATGCGCGATTGTTGTTATTGAACTATCAAGTCATGATATTACCCATAAAAAAGTATCAACTTAAAAATTGTAACAAAGTATTAAGTATGGTACCAATCTTTATATGATGATGTAAAACGAAATAGTTTGGTTTTCCTTTTTGTAATATGTTTAGATAAAGAATTTTAAAATGTGTTTCTGTATTTAGATTAAAGATTGCGTTCTACCTTTTCCATAGCTTTTGCTACGGCTTGCTTCACTGTTTTCCCTAAGGCCTTGTGGACAGTAGTATTCACCAGTCTTACCAAAGCTTGTCCTGTCCGCTTCTTCTTACTCTTTCGTTCAAGTCTCTTCCGACACTTTTGTTTCTTCTTTGCATGTTTGCAAATGTCAACTGATCTTTTGACGATGTTCATTTTACTTGGAACGTTTACTCGTGATTCTTTCAAAGCATCGTCTGTACTTTCATGACTTCCCTTTGAAAAGAAAATCATCAGGAGTACAACAAAGCATACAAGTATCAATTTGTTTTCGAAGTTTACCATATTGAAATTTATTTAAATCAACTATTGCAGATGCCATTGGAATTACCTCCCTTGGTATTTCTATATTTATTCCGAAAAGTCTGTTTATGTGCATATAGAAATGGAAACCATATGTTTTATTAAGAGACAATTGGATGACCTTACCAAGTTTTGACGATGGATATTGCGATCACGCTCTCTCATTAAATGTGAAAGTTTTGTGACTGTGTACTTTTTCTGAAGTCTGTAAAGTTTCTGTTCAAGGTTGAAAAATCTAGAATCAAAACTATCCTTTGTCATTGCGCATGTGTGGTTATTGTACCCAATGGTGACCCAACACATTGTAACGATGACAACGCACGCACAACACGAAATGATAATTTGAATCCTGCACCTGTACTCGCATTTTGCACAACAGTTACAATTGTCTGAAGGCGGCTGCACGTTGACTTCCTGTCGGCTGTGTCCACCATTGCCCTTTGACAAGGAGCTACACAATAGACGTGCTTTGCTGATATCAGTGTTGCCAGACTGCATTTCCATTTTGGAAACAGTTGTCACATGTCTTTGCAAAATCGAGGGATTCCCCTCCCGACGTCCTGAAGTCGCTTGACGAACACCTACAAATTACACAAACACGTACACAGCGAGATACACATACCGCTGACATACAAAATGTATTAAATAATTCAGTGAACTAGACATACAACAAGGACAGGGGAAATTTTATTTATAGCCAGATTGTCAGAAAGGGTAGATACGAGCAGACTTTAGTTTATTATTATAATCAGTTAAGACGAAGTCGGCCTTATGTTAACGCTTATAACTGGAACATGAACGATAAACCTTAAATTGAAAGAAAATGCTGCTCTGTCGATTCTGGGAAATGATGTGTCCTACATTAGACTTCCAGAAAGTATCTATAAATGTATGTCAATTACCTGGAAAAGGGGCGGTCATTAGTTTTGATGGAAGGCTGTCAGACTATATTTGGTTAAGTAGTCATGATATTTCTCGGTAAACTATTAAAGCAAGCGTTTAGAAAGTGCCTGTGAAATGTTTATCAGTTACAGGCCTTAAAAATTGTACATAAAAATGTACATATTACAGCATATCACCTTAGGCAAACATGAGTGGTCCGAGTATATTCCACATGCATTCGCATTATACGTTGATTTTACATTTTAAACACTATAATATAACTCGAATTTCTGCAAATTCGAAATAGTATGAATTTCACTGAATTAAACAGTCTAACCTGAAGAAGCTTTAACTTTCAATTCGAAATAGCTCCACACTTAAGTGTTGATTAAACATCAATAAGTGGGATATGATATTTATTTACAGTTTGTGTAATCGGCCAAATTATATGTCTCCCAGAGCGAAAAGTACATCTTGCCAGATCCTAGGAGAAAACTATCTGGTCTATTGCACACACTGTGTATTGTTGGTATTGAAAGGTCAGAATTAGTAAAGGATATTTATAAGTTGTGAACAATAAACACAAAGAAGTACTAGTACTGTTTCTGGTGGATTGTTACATAGATTCCATTAAATGACAGGAAATCCTTGACATCGTTCGTGTCGTGATTATCACGGCCTCTTCACGTGTGATCAGCATATCAGGGGGTAGGCCTCCTACTGTGGGTACGTCTGTGAGCCATGTCGGTTTGGATGAACTTTTAGGATCCATTGCATCGGAGTGACCTCCCTTGGCTTCCTTCCTGCAAATATTTGTTCCATAAGTTTAGTTATTCTGGGCATGACTATTAACGTCTTGTCGGCGAATTTTTTATATGGCCATTATCAATCACTAGGATACTAATAAAATATAAAATAAATATAAATGGGACCAAATCTTCCAAATCCAACATTTTAACTGATCTAATAATCTGATAGATTAGTTGAGTGGATGCCAAATAACACGAAGTAGACTTAAGGTCGTCATAAAATATCATTCTGAGGCCTTCATTTTACAACGTTATTGTAAACACATGATTATTTCATAGGTGAACACAGCATTTTGATCGTGTAGAGCAGTACCTTAAAATATCATCCGACTCCTGTGCTGAAGAACATCCTGTCAATTAGAAAAAAAGATGGTTTATCGAAATCAGATTTCAAGGTAAACATCAATATAATGATATTGTTAACTTCTGTCAAAATGAGTGTACTAGGTTTTCAAAATTATTATATCTCCCAATGTGTCTATGTATTTGTTTCAATGCAGCTTTATGTTGTTCAATAAAGATATTAAAGAGCTTGGTAGTTGTTTGCTGTAACTTCATTAAATGCATAAGAATACAAACAAGTGTTCATGTATATTTTTATAGATAATACTCTATAACTGATATTTAGTTTAGACTTGTTTACGTTATGTGTTGGCAAAGTGCCATATCAACCTACCACACTACTGATATTATGACAACGTGACTAACTAGGTACGCTGACTATTTTGCACTGACGACACTGCATACATGTTACATCACTTTGAATAACATTATAGATATACATATTTATTTTCGTTCAAGTGAATTATGTTTATGTGCATCTGCGGCTGGTTAATACATGTCCATATGCATGTACAAATAAAATGTACTTTTAAGAACTTCGAGATTAAACAAGACGAGGAAAACTTTGAGGTTAAATCTGTATTTAAAAGGTGACTTCCAGTGTCCCAGAATGAGTACTACCTTGGGTTAATCCCAGCTAGGAATACAAAGACAGGTCAAAGCAGTGATCTAAATACGTACTCAAACGTTTTTATGAAGGCGAACATGGTTATCGTAGCTGGGTATCTAGGTCAATCTCTTCAGACTAGTGTTCATTATGACTCCAGTAAACCTACCTGTACAAATTTACCTGACGCTATATTTCAATACCTACCACGCTTTGTCGAACTGGGCCCTTGCCAAGCTACAGTTGAAGCCAAACAACTGACGGTGGTCTAATTGCTCTCTGCGCTGGTGTTGACTGGCCATACTCAGGACAAAATCGCTGATTGTCCACCTAAAACTTAATTGTTCCAGTCTTTTATTTGATTTATACGACTGCATTTGGTTAGGATAATATTTCAATAGAAAAAAATATATGATAAATTACAACAAATTAATAAATTGCATTCGCCCTAAAGATTCCGTGCCAAATATGTTTTTTTTCTACAGTTTAATTGGTATTATCAAGTGTGATGATAACCTATAGCGTTACATTACGACACAAGATGAGATAGACATACACTAGGAAGCATTTTAAAAGTTTAACAAGGGCATGCTCTATAGAGAATCAACCATATTTCCCTCGCCCCGTAAATGACCCCATTTTAAACATTACAGATATTGACAGCATGCTTTTTTACGTATGAGCATTTTTTTTTTTATCTTCGTTTTTTTTTTTTTTTTTTCATTTGTTTTTGTTTCCAATGATGTTACAATATACAAATGTAACGATATATGATTTATACTAATCAAAGATTTAAGTAACAATCAATAACTACGTCCACTGCTCTCTTATAAAACACGTATTAAAAACGCTATGGGAATTTCATTCTTGTAGTAAATTCATCATTCAGATAAGAAATTACCCGAGAGTTTGAAAATACGTCCAAAATATATTACACATCAAATCGTAAATAAGTAACGAAACTGATGAGAATCCGTGATCAAAATAGATTTTAACGGTCAAATCTATGCTCGCATTATGCATAATCAACCGTGATAAAATGTTTTAAAAACCTTAAACAAATTACAATTATTCAATAAACTGATTATATAATCTCTTATAAAGTGTGAGATATCTAGATGATTGACCTTAAAATAACAAATTGATGACACTATGTTTTAACTTACCTGGTGTAGACTTGTGTCTTAGAAGCGCAGAATACGAGAGCTTCTTCCACCTATGTTATAAGGAAGTATTTGACAATCTCGGCAATATTTGACCAATCACCTCTGTTGAGAGTGGAAATACCAGATGATAGCATAGTCATTAAATAGTAAATTCTGTAAAACCCCATTCCACTGCTATAAATAGCTTCAAAATTCCAACACGTCTAAATATAGATCCGACTCAACCCTCAGCTTAACATTCATGTCAGATGGTAACAATCTGTTGAGCGACAGGATATTCTTACAATTACACGCAAATGAAGAATATGTGTGCGAAAAGGGTCTTTGGTCTTCATCTCAGCTGACAAGACATCACTTAAGAAAGTATTGTTGAAATCAATTTCTAATATTGGCAATGGCATGGATGAAAAGAATGAAGAAAAGTCCTTATAGAGTTGTCAAATACAACACCATTGATATAAACAGAATTTTATTGGTATCTACAGTCGACATTAGTAATTGGAACAGTTGATACATATAACATATATTTATTTCCAATGGAAAATCCTACTGCAGTATTTTAAATATTAGTTACAACGTGTTAAATGGAGATAAATAACAATAAAAAGATATTATGTAAAACAGTAAAACGTCATTCGAAAGTATTGTTACAGTAAATCGAGACGTACCTATTGTGCTAAAAACATTTTTCATTACAAAAAAATTATCAAATCCCATGATAAATCATCATGGTCATCGGCTTCTTCATAAAATCACAATATACGACACAGTAACTACCTTCATAATGTAACGGAGATCATAATAGTGTAACATCTTTAACACTGCTACAGACACAATGCACTAAAACTAGTGTCTAGACCAAAGGAAAGTAGTCCTACGTTCCATTATCTAACTAGGCTTCCTGCTGTAGGTTTTCTATAATATTATGTATTATGTATCAAGTTCTAGCCAATGTTATATCGAGTTGAACAATATTGATATATTTCATTTTACACCTGTTCAACTAAAATCAGCATGTATTTATACATCAGTTGAAGTTTTGACAAAACAGAAATGAAATGCTGAAATGCTCATGAAAACAATTCTGATATAATTACACTCTTCATATTGAGATAACGACTTGTGAAATCTTGTTCGGTGTATTCATTAAATGCTGTTAGCGAGATCTCTGATATCAGCATCCATCTCAATAACCACATTTGAAGACTTATCCCGAAATGCTGACTCTCGCTATTGATGTGGAAAACATGTAACACAGTGTTGCACAATACATGCACCTATACCTGCACATGTTTGTTAGTTTGATCTTTAAACTAGGAAGTGAATTACTGAGCACACTGAATTTGTGAATTCGTGTCACGTTTGAGATTAATTCAGTTATCAAAATCATACGATAAAGGCGTGAATTGTGGTTTGTTAACTGCTAATCCAGCATAATATTTTCCAAAAAAATATAATTCTATCGCGTTTACTTATTAAACATTCTCAAGAGCTGGGAAGGGTTTTCCCATGGATGGTTTATAACATCTCGAAATTCTTTCAAGTTTCGTTGTTCATCAAAAGGAATTAAAGCTTCTTTGTACAAATGTAACTCTCTCTCTCTCTCTCTCTCTCTCTCTCTCTCTCTCTCTCTCTCTCTCTCTCTCTCTCTCTCTCTCTCTGTAAATTGGTTGATAGTCAATAAAAAGTTCAAGTAGA